AAAATAATTAAAACCACTATTTTCATAAGTTTTATTACAAAAGTTAATAACAAGTTCTTTGATAGTAGTAAGGGAGGTAGTTAGAAGCACTGATAGATTGGTAGTAGAACACTTACTAGATGCGGAGATGAAACGGAATTTAAATGTTTTTTTGTGCAATTTAGGTAACCAGTACATAGTAGGGACTTTCAAATGTTCGGAAGAGGCTTTAAGCTGGGTAGTGGCAGTGATATGCTTGTTTACAATTTGAGTCTCTGTGGAGCGTACGGCCCTGAATGTAGAAGAATTTGTAATTTTGTTTTAGTGAACTTCCGTGTATTATATGCGTCACACCACCACAACATTATTTGCTGCTTTGACTGCTGGTACGAACACAAACTGCTTTGCGAGTACTTGGAGTTTATTTTTTATTCTAGAAATGGGAATATCATGGACCCTATTACTTATTTCAGAATTGTTTTTAAAATGAGATATACGAATATTAACAGTATTCATAATTTTATTCAAATAACTGTCTAGAGATTTTTTATCCGATTTTTTACGTTTACACCAATTTTTACAGTAGACAGACAGAGCATCTTTAATGACCTGACGACACTGTTTCCAATCTATTTTAAATTGAGGACCATATTTCAGTCCTTTCTTAGAAAAAGTTATGACCTCACGGTCTTCGACGATGTTGAGGTCTCTTGTAAGGACATGACCATAGGGAACATATCTAAAACTAGATGTTATACAATCTCAAATCGAAGGAACATTATTTTCTATATAGACGTCTGATGTAACTGACGTATAATTAAAAATCAAACTTCTGCTGGTTTTTTTTATAAGAATACGAAATAATAGGTGGTTCTATATTATCAAAATATGGAGGTATTTGTCTTTGGATGGTAGAGTCATTGAATATACTAGATAAGTTAATAAAATCAATACCTCTATTTATATATTTTAATTTAAGAAAATGCTGTTTATGATTTTTAGGTATATACTTTACTGCAATTACTAGGTTAAGCAGATACACGTCCATTCGCTATAACCATTTATACTCTACTTCCCGCATGTCAACTTTCACATTGGTTTATATTCATTTCACGAAAGCATTCAACACTTTATCATACCCATAAACAATATCATTTACCTCAAGTCCCCAAGACTATTGGGACAAATATAAGCGACATATCATAAAAAAATAAATGTACTGCATGAAATGAGAAGTGGTCGAAGTAAAAACACAGCTGCATCATCCATTACATATTACAGTTATTCAGACTGTCTGTTACAGTTCGATAACCTTCAATTACTTTCAACGACTACCTTAATAATTTACTAATAAAAGTAAATATGATTACACATGAGGAAAATGTACGAAACTAAGGTTCAATGACGCAATGATAGACAAGTCATGCAAAATTTATTCTAATGTATATATATATATATGTCCCCGGTAACGATTACATGCAATAAGCAAAGTAAGAAAGGATATGGCATATATCAATTGATAACACAATATCACAATATGCTTTTATTGCCGTCCTTCAACTCAAAGTTACACTGACACTTCAACATATTTCTAACTCCAAACTCACAAACAAGTTCATACGTTCCTTGCCATCGGTCTAAATGAATAAATCATTGTAGATGTCACGATACATGTGTATGTGTTTGTTGGTTTGTTTGATTGAAACTATTATTTTACTACTTATTAGTGTGCTCCATTTGTAAAAGTGTATAGATTTTTGTTTTGTTTTGGGTTTTTTTTCTATTTTGGTTGATTATTACAGAGTATGGTTTAGTATGTTAAATGATACCAAATATTTGTGCACATAGTTTACATTCGTTTTCTTGATTTCATATTTGGTATATGAAGGAGAAGCTTTGTGTCTGTTGTTCATGAAACCAATTGGATCAATGATACTTACAGCATATTTATGTGAAAAACTGACATCAACTGAAGTTATTGAAAAACTTCAATTTAGAAACTTTTGCTGATGATTATCTACATCACAGTTTACTTTAACATTTGACATATTGATAGTTTACTTTTTTATCGATATAAGTTTTTCAAATACATTGTATCAACTACAAGAATAGCATTTATTGTCCAACCGATGTCGAGACTGCATCGAGATATGTTGTCCTGTCACAAAGAACAAGGGATGATAAGGGCCGTTTTTGGCCCCACTACTAAATTTTATTTAATTTGTCATGTTTTAACTCTTACCACAGACCTTCTGAAAATGGTTGCATTTTGTGTCTATCTCGTATATTCTGTTGCCTAGCAACATGTATAATAGTGGCGATAAACTCTTTAAATATGCTAAATATAGAGCTTTAATCTATTTATCTTTAAGATCCAACCTGTTTAATATGCAGTAAATTATACATACATACACCGTTTAAATGTAACGCAATGTAATGCACATTTTTGGGCAAAATCGTTGTAATTTCGCCCCAGCTACAAAACTATGTCCATAGCAACGGCAAGTTGTTTTCTATTTTACAAGATTCAACTTTAATATGTTGCTTCAAAAAGATTATTTAAGGTGCACATCGTAAAAGGTACCAAACTCCAAGGAAAGAGACAGGGATAAAAATCAATGCTCAATAATACCAACAAACAAACAACTATAATTCTTCAAGAAAATGTGGTAACAAAGTGTATTTGTAGAGTACCTTTGTGGAGTATAAAAAATGTAACATTGATCTTATTGTAAAATTGCTCTTTGTCACATTTGCTTCATGAATTAATACATGTCCACCTTATATATTCTTTTCATTTTATCCAGTTTTGGTGATCTTTTAACTTATATGTATATCTTGAAACTTTACACATTCGGTTTAAAATTTGTGTTTTAGTGTCATCTTTAAGTAGCAAATTGAAATTTCGCATACCAAGTGGTGTAATAAAAAATAAATCTCATGTATCTTACGATTTATATAAATTGTAAGCAGAAAATCGTTAAAATCTTTTTTCAGTAAATTTTATTCTGTTTTCTAGATCCCCCTCTCCTTTTCCATCCAACACTTATATGTTATGTATATAGGCATAAGCTTAAACTTTGTCTGAAGAATTGGTGGCATTGTATAGTCAATTTTCTGCGTATGATTGCACTGCTTGGCTATGAAAAAAAAACTATCGCACCAACCTTGCACCAAAAAATATGAACATGTCTAAATGTTAAAATTTCAAATTGGTGCAAGCATAGTGCGGTGGTCAAAATTAAGGAAAAACACCCAATGTTTTCATTTGTGCTTATTTTCCAGATTATGACGTCGTTTACGCTCACCATCGTGACGTCATTTAATATTTTTTGTTAAATAAAAACAGTGTTTTTTTTTTAAATCATTGACTCTTGTTCTTATTACTAATGGTGAAAAATATGATCAGTTGAAATGTTTATTATTTTGTAAATCTGGTGCCAAATTTAGGCAATTATAGCCTCTACTACTTAGACGAAACCAAAACGGAAGAACGATGATTAGCTTTTTGTTGAGGAATATGGGACACTACTTACTCGATACTTTTTCAATAACAAACTTAAAAACAATACTTATGTCATAAAGATATAGCGACAACGATTATAGTAGACATTCCTTCCAATCAGGCGCGGCTACCAGTGCCAGTTTCCAAGGAACTGAGGACATTATGATGCAAAGACTTGGAAGATGATAATCGGATTGTTTTAAATGTCATATCATTACTTCTATTTGGACGTAAATCAAAGAATACTGTAACATTCGTTTGTTAATCTCTTCCGAAATTCTATAATGTGTTCTATGTTTAATGAATCATTTTTACTTTGTATCATGTCCCTCTTCCTAGCTTTGTATCTTTTTTCTTTTTGTAGTTGATCTCAATATTGTAGATAAGGATTTTACATAGGCTGTAACTTCTTGGTCAACTACCGAATTCATGCACAAGCTTAAAACACAACTTGGGCAGGCAACATTACGTTACATATTTCGTTTTGGGCTTGATAATGTATTTCGGCAAAATATTTAGGGTGCCATCCTACCTTGACAAGGAATAGCTCTCATCTTGATTTCTCACAGCAGCTCTATTTCACGTCGGACTGCTCAGGAACAGCTTGCTAAAGTACTCTGAAAATATTAAGCATGGCAGTTGTACACTTGTCATTTGTAATTACATACCACAATGGTGACGTATTTTTGCAAAAATATGCAGCAAGTCCAGGCACAATATTTTAGCGGCAAATTGTGCTTAATTATCTGAGAACACACTATCATGTTATATACTTTAACTTGTACATGCTGCGTGTGTTTCTTGTCAACTGCGGGTGGCATATGATTTTTTTTTGTTGTTCTTGATTTCAATTATGACAGAACTCAGTGAATTATATGCCACGAGCAAATATATCCTCATGCATTCACTCAGTGTGCCATGCGCACTGTTCGGATTATTAAGAATAATTATGGCGTCATTTCGTACTAATTACATGACAGCTTTTCATTCAATTATGCCAGTGAGTTTCTGTAACATAACGTGTTGCCCTTATGCCCAAATAGTTTTTACAATAAAATTATAAGTTTACATCATGTTTTGTTTCAATACAGCAGCGACTATAAGTCCTAACTATCTGTGAAATATTTACCACTGGACATTATCAACACTCATTCGATCAAGGACTTTTAATTGGTATTGTCCCTATAATTCTACTGATACATATTATCGTGGGTTATTATTAAATGATTTGCGGTCAAGACTTAATCTCTCATGCGTGTTTATTGGTGTCTAATGTTTTAAACCACACAAGAAATTATGAAACTAATAGATTATGGCTAGCATAGTGAGGTCAGAGTATTTATATTATTTTCGATCTACAATGATGGTTTTCACTTGGTTTATATTTATCCCCCGACGCTCGATTTCATTTTATCCTTTACGTATATGACACATGTTATATAAATTAATATTCAATTTTACAAACATTTGGGTAAAACTTTCCACAAATGCACAAATTCCTATCACCATTCACCCGATCCTGCAATGTTAGCCAGTAATAGTGGAGATCTATTAGTAAAATTAGTCTGCTAGTAGTACTAATAACAGTATACTTTTATACTGCACAGTATAGATGTTAGAAGTGGTAGAACTAACAACGTACAATATATACATATTACTCAGTACAAACACGGACCTTTTCCGGGATATTACGGTTGTAGTATTTCAGTTACGTTGTTACCACTAATAAGGTTAACAACGTAATTGTTATATTACCCAAAACAACGACGGAAACAACTTCCGCGGTAAGCGACTGCTTATGTCGGTTTCTGAAACAACACAAATTTAATTAGAGTAATATTACGATATCAGTAGTTATAAGCGACAGCTTTTATATATAGTTAAAAATAACCCTTATCTTTTTTTTGAACGAATGGTTGCTATTCTAAAAATAGATATAGGAAGATGTGGTATAAGTGCCAATGAGACAACTCTCCATCCAAGTAACAATTTATAAAAGTAAACCATTACAGGTCAAGGTACGGCCTTCAACACGGAGCATTGGCTTACACCGAACAGCAAGCTATAAAGGGCCCCAAAAATTACTAGTGTAAAACCATTCAAACGGGAAAACCAACGGTCTAATCTATATAAAAACGAGAAACGAGAAATACGCATGAACTACATAAACAGACGACAACTACTGTACATCAGATTCCTGACTTAGGACAGGTGCAAACATTTGCAGCGAGATTAAACGTTTTAATGGTACCAAACCTTCTCCCTTTTCTGAAACAATAGTATAACATCACAACATAGAAAGACACACTATAAAATATCAATTGGAAGGCTCAACTCAATCAAAAAACGTAAATTAACACACAATGAACGAATAAATTTGATCTGTGATACCTGAATGCAAATACATAGTTAATAAAAATTATAAGGGATAAATAATTAAGGTCAAAAGTAAATAAAGACTGTTTTTGCTTAGAATTATAAACTGAAGTTTATTTGTTTTGTAATACGGGCTTTCTTTTTGTCGGCTTTTGATATATACCTCAACCTAAAGCTAGAAATAGCTCCTACGCCAATAAACATCAGACTGACAACTGAATCTATATTAATTTTTTTTTAGGTTTTATTGGAAAATGGTTGTTGTGACGGAACAGTTAGAAACCTGCACGATGCAAAATGTATTGACATAAGCATATATTGGTTGTACATAACAGTTGGATACCTGCATGATGGATTGGATGCGAAATTTATTAAAATAAACAATTTGCCAAATATGAAATAATGCAAAGCAATTTATTAATAACAATTATTGACAATAATCTGTACGTTGCATGTGCATAATCTGTATATCAATTAGAGAGCATTTGCATGTGCCATGATATTTTGTAATATTTTGAGATCTCATAAAGAATAAATATAAAACACAATTTCTGTATTATTTTTTCTATAAAATATAGTTTTTCGTTTACATGAATTAACATACATTATATTGAAAAGGCAGTTACAAATATAAACCAGGATTTATAAATGTTTAACCTACTTATCACTAGATTTATTTTTTTAATATTCTAAATTATTTGTATTGGAATCTAGGCTAAACCTCTGTGCAACTTTTTGGTATTATGCATACCAGTGCCAATTCAAATGTTAGTACTTGTAGAACTAACAAAGTATAAAATATATTTTTCATTATCCAATCAGATTGATCTTAATAAAATCAAAATTGCAGAAAGTCTTGAAGAAAGTGCCATTTGACTCCATATTTGTTTACCAAAAAAAGATATTGTGCTCGTATTTATATTAGAAGAAGATGGTGAGTCCGTCTATATTTGCGTTTATATGCTTTACTGGCCGAATGTATTATATATACTGATATTCATACAAGAATTGAACTGAATTTTCTAGATCCCTGTCTGCGATTTGATATAAATTACAACCACGTGTGTTTACAAGCAACTATAATCTCAAAAGTTTAAATATTCTTAAATTGGTATTTTTTCATAATATTTTTCTTCTTTAAATTAGACAAAATTCTGTCTTATACCATCAACTTTAACTCGCATCTTCAAATTTTGAATTATTATAATTTTCAGAAATGTAACCTTGTAGATCTACAAACCTTCAAAATCCCAAGTACAAATCAACATCTATGAATTGAATTTGTATGTAATTTTTAAGAAGGAAAACGTTGTTATTATCATATTATATGCAATACCTGTTCATGTGCTGATCCAGGAGTTTTTTTTTAAAAAAAGGGGGAGAGGCCGTCAACAAGGCAACGTTAGGGGCTCACAAAAAGTATATGTATAATCATAAATTTACCGCTTTAACAGTGGTTGGTTGGAATTGGACATGTCCCCTCAAAATCTGCACATACCGCTATGTTATTTGATGTTATAAACGTGTTGTAAATAGACAGGTTCTATATTAATACAGGGAACCACTTAGAAGAGTTGTCTTTCTTTGTTTACACTATATAAACTGACAATGTCTTTTTTATTTCTTCCTTGATTTTGGAACATCAAACGATTTTGTTTTCTAATCTTTAACTCAATATCATTTTTCTTTAGAAATATAAACTGCTACATTTTCGCTCAGTTTCAGCTCTTTTACCTGTAATTTGATTCAAGGGAGACGGATTTATATAAGTTATTCTTGTTTCCGATTCTCAGTATTTATATTGTATAATTGTATTTTGCGCACTTTTGAAATAAAATATTGTTTAAACTAATTTGATTTAAAAAAGACATTTATAGATATATAAAAATAAAGATGTGGTATGATTGCCAATGAAACAACTCTTCACAAGACACCAAAAGACACAGAAATTAACAGCTATCGGTCAACGTACGGCCTTTAACAACGAGAAAACCCCTAACCGCATAGTCAGCTATAAATGGCATCGAAATCACAAATGTTCGATAAAACTAACGTCCTGATTAATGTACCAAAAAAAATGAACGTAAAGCAAATATGTAACACAGCAATAAACGAAAACCACTGAATAACAGATTCCGGACTTGGAACAGGCACATACACATGCAGAATGTGGTGGGTTAAACGAGATCCCAAAACTCCTTCCTTATAGGCCCTACTAGTTGAAAACGTACTAACAAATCCATGGGAATACGAAATAACGATAAAAAGTCAAAAACAAATCCGCAAAATAAACCATTAAAAACTGAAAACTTAGCAACACACACCTATGAAAACGGTCTTATAACTTAATGAAAGAGCAAAACGCAATAATCACGGCAGCCTCAACATATCTACAGAGGATACAGATTTGCGCCTTCGAAGGTTTTAAAAGCACTTCATAATGTCTTAATTTAGCATAAGCACTATTAAATTTAGGTGGGAATTTTTATATTTTAAGTACGATTATGTTAATTTTATCTATAACCCAATGAATTTCAATTTTATAACAGCCAATGAACGACGTCACGTTGCTATGAAACAAAAACAGAATTAAAGATTTGTCGTTCTTGGAAAAAGATGTTTACTGATTAAAACAGAAAACGCAACACAAAACATTCTAAAAATTGAAATAATTTATAGATATAGGAAGAATAGGTATGAGTGCCAATGAGACAACTCTCCATCCAAGTCACAATTTATAAAAGTAAACCATTATAGGTCAAGGTACGGCCTTCAACACGGAGCCTAGGCTCACATCGAACAGCAAGCTATAAAGGGCCCCAAAAATTACTGGTGTAAAACCATTCAAACCGGAAAACCAACGGTCTAATCTATATAAAAAACGAGAAATTGAAATAAGTTACATGTTAAAGGAAAGATAAACTTGTAGATACGTACATTATGAAAAGTTTAGAAAAAGTAATATGCAACCTCTGTAAATTATATTTACATGTTTTCACATAACTGGGTTCAACAAAAGCGTCTACCGTTTACACCATAGAAACTAAACACCGTGCAACACAAACCCCAGTCATATATGAATATAAAAAACTAAACAATTACATTTTTATTATCTTGCGTTATACTTTTGGGTAAAGAAAAGAACCAGATTCGATTACACAGCAGAAATGGTTGAAGTTTTGGAGGCCGCATGGATAGCTGGCATGCGGTCAGCAGGGAAGGACCAAAAAATTGTAGAAGTTGCCTTACAACTTCAATTGCAACCAGAAAAAGTAAAGGTACTATTACGAAAACTATTTGACCTTACAAGAAATAGATTTATAAATCACTCATACTTATTCATTTTGAAAAGGAAAGGATATGTGGTTTCATACATTGCATACATTCAGTACATACACTGTAAAAACATAAAATAACAAAAGCACAAGGACACAAGGACAGTTTCTAGCACCAATTTCAGCGGATTTATTGAAAAATATCCGTGATTAATTATATGCCATCAATGTGACTTGAAATGCAATGACAAAAATTAATGCCAATAAATCAAATATGGCAAATAAATAAAACGTTTACTATTTTAGTTTTAAATTGAAGCTGCATAATAATTCATTTTAAACGAAACATAAAGATATGAAGATGTGTCATGATTGTCAAAAGTACAAATACTTAAAAACAAATGGTACCGAAGCAATCATTCATAATTTACCGTGTAGCCTTAGAAATCACGACATAACACTCTTTTATAGGCATCAAATAAAATCCAATATGAAACCAACGGCCTGATTTATAAACAATTCAATTTTCGTTATAAAGATAAATAATCTACAGAAGTCACGTTTATATTGTTTGTGTATATAAAAAAGAAGATGTGGTATGATTGCCAATGAGACAACTCTCAACAAAAGACCAAATGACACAGAAATTAACAACTATAGGTCACCGTGCGGCCTTTAACAATGAGCAAAGCCCATACCGCATTGTCAGCTATAAACAAAACGATGAAAAATAATCGACAGAGCCTCGCATTCTTTTTTTTTCGTCTTTTAGTCCATTTTGATATTGTTGTCATGTCAGTCAATGCACTTATTTTCTATATAGATACCCATTCAAAACATTTGGGTTGATGTTACCAATTATCTGGATCTAGTGTTCAGGAGGAATTGAAATAAAGGTGTGTTTTTCAATATTTAAGAATGTTGTTTCTGTAAAAATTGTACCAGAGAATTACTTCACTTTTTTCTATATCTATACTACTGATTTTAGGAATGGATTGGCAATCGAAACGCTAAAGAAGCTAGAAGACAAGGTGGACAAACTGTCAAAAAGTCGAAAATATTAATAAAGGGGCCAAATTCATACTCCTTATTTGCAAGAAGTGTTGAAAGAGGTTATTTTTAACAAATTAGTATTATTTGGCGTTACACGTTATTTATTTTGAAACTATTAATTGTGCTTATTTAGCATCCAGCCTTAACATAGTTGAATCTGCACAGAAAATTTGTATACACCTATTGACTGGGTGTGAGGGTAATAGTAAGTTTGTTGTCGAGGCAAAGCCGAGGGCAATAGTTGGTATGCGAAGGGACTACAAACTTGCTATTACTCGCACATCCAGTCATTAGGTGTTTTATTATACTGAACAACAGTCATTATTCTCAATTTTATTATGTGTTTTTATATACCAAATTAACAAATTTGAGGTAGGGCCAATTTCCCCTGAAATTTTTTCACAGAAGGGCCAATTTCAAAAAGTGCCGAAAGAATAAAATTTACGATAAAAACATGAAATAAAAAAGTTTTTTGGTCAATATCTCGATTTTTATGTATTATGTTATGTCTGGAAAATAGTTAATTCAACCTCCAAAAAAGGATGAAAGTTAAATATGCGGAATTTACCGTGTTTTTATGTTGGAAAAACAGGGAATCCCCCTAGAAGGACACTTCAAACCAAAACAAAGTTATGTTTTTTGTTGTTGTTGTAATTTATACAACTTTTCCCTTCAAAAATGAAATTGGTTTAGTTTGTCCTTAATACCAAAAAAACAACCTTTTTTTAATAAAAAGTGGAACATCACTAAATTTTACCTATATAGCTGCTTAATATCGACTTTGTTTTCAAGAGTCGCCGTGGCTCCATCGGTAGCGCTTAACACTGTAAATAATTGATTGTTTTAAGTTGGGGTTCAAAGCTCACGCTACTTTTTCTCATTTTTTATGTTGAAATATTAAAATTTTATGTTTCTATCACATTTTTTCGGATGTTTGTTTAATTCAAAGAGTCACACTAAAGTAGGTGCTTGTACATAACCAAAAACACGAGAATTGATTATATAGCAATGAAGCCCAAATGTTGTGTGTGTTATACACATAACAAAAAAGGCCATAGCAGAAAAATTTCAAAACAACAAAACTATTCTTTCTAAATCTTGAACAAGAACGTTTTAGAAAATGGTATGATAAGAAACAAATGCAGACAGTAATTTTATCGCCAATCCACCAACTTTGTAGATACTAGTACTGGCATTGTTACATTGTACCACCGTCCCTA